CCAATATAATCCCAACTCTAGGGGGTCAAGTTGTACGCAACCTTGTCCCTGTAAAAAACAAAGAAGTTTCCATTGAATCCTTGATGTGTTGGTGCATTTACTCCCCAAAACTACACAAAAAGTGAAAAGGGATGTTTGATGTGCCATTTTGAGTGAGTAGATTATTTACTCAAAATTAAGAAAATCAATAGTGATTCTATAAGGTAATTAGTCAAATCATTAAGTTCTGAGAAAAAATAATAGAGATAAGGTTGATAGCGAGATAGACACTTCCGAGAATCAATTTGGTTTCATGCATAGTCAGTAAACAACATAGGTCATTCACCTCCTGAGAAGGCTGATGGAGCAGTATAGAGCGAAGAAGAGGGACCTACAAATGATGTTTGTACTTTATACTGTTCATTGTTTCAGAGAAGTACAAGAGAGTTCCAAGGAAGATCTGATGCAGGTGCCTGGAATACAGAGGGTTTGATCGCTTACATCCGAGATGTTAAGAACATGTATGATGCCTGATGGGGCGAAGACCAGGGCGAGGTAAATTGGAGGTGGCTCAGATCACTTCCCAACAGAAATGAGTTTGCATCAGGGTCTGCCCTCAGTCCTTTCCTGTTTGTCTCGATGGTGAATGTTCTGATGCGTGATATTCAAGGAGAGGCACCATGGTGCATTGAAACATGTTTGTGGATGACATTGTTTTGATTGACCAAACACGTGAGGGCCATGGGTTGGAGGTGTGGAGAGTGGGACGGACTTTGGAGTCCAAAGGTTTCAGATTGAGCAAGACTAAGACTGCGTATGTTGAATGTTACTTCAGTGGTTTGATGACCAAGTCAGAGGCGGAAGCAAAGACTGATACGCATCTACTACCGATCCATCATTCAAGCTTATGGGGTGAGAGCTGGGGATATTATTCATTACAGCGGAGCAGTTTGGATGAAGTGGAAGCTTAATTCAGGTGTCCTATGTGACAAGAGGTTATCAACAAAGCTTAAAGGAATGTTCTATCATAGTTATCACGGAACCAAAGCGAGGCACGGCGCCAGTGTACCGCTATGATGCCTAGACGACCGCCTAGGCGACCTAGGTGGCAACACAAAAATCAGGATTGGTATACCTTAGTAACACTAAATTATATATAAACATTCATGTTCTTTAAACCTAATCAGAATTTCAAATGAACATACTTTAAAAAATATAAACACGCCATAAAATGAAAAATAGAAGATTATAAAATATGAAACATGATTAAAACCCAATATGCGACTTCTTATTGCAAAGTAAATACTAAGTATGAAAAAGTCACCATCTAAAAAGCATAAAGGATTTTCAAAAGGCGATGCCTAGACGCCTAGGCGAGGGAAGCAAAATAAGGTGAGGCAATACACCATGGCGAGGGGAGCTGACCGCTAGGACGCCTAGGCGGTGCCTAGGCAATGCCTTGATAACTATGACTTCAACCAAGCACCGACTATGTTGTATAGAGCTGATTGTTAGGACTTAGAAAGTGAAGAAAACTCAAATTCAAAACCTCTAAGTGACAGAGATGAAGTGAGATGGATGCATGATCACACGAGGATGGATAAGGTCCAGAAAGCTATTCAAAGAGGGGTGGGAGTGGTCTCTGTGGAGGATAAGCTACATGAAGCTAGACTGAGATGGTTTGGGCATGTACTCGGGAGAAGTACATATGCTCCATGGAGGTGTGAGAGGCTAGAGGTAAGAGACGTCAGGAGGGGTAGAGGTAGACCTAACCAAAGTTGGAAAGAGCTGATTAGACATTATTTAGGACCCTAGGATCTTCCTGAGGATATGACCTTAGATAAGAGTGTTCAAAGGACTAGGATGAATCTTTTTCTTTCCACTTTCTCACCATTTTCTCTTCTCACCATTTCCTTTCACATCATTTTATTTCATTCCATTTTCCTTTCTCATCCAAACAAAGGTTTAGTTCCATTGGCAATAGACCCATTTGTAAATTTTTTAGCGAAATATAATGGTGCCCTTATTTCAAGATAAGTTTTGATATGTTTCCAATGTTTTTCAGAAATTTTGGCATTTTTTATATTATTTGACGTTCTCCAAATTTCTCCCAAGGATCAAGAGAAATTTTTTACCCATTGGTATCAGAGACTTCAAAACATGGAAATTGTGATGAAAATTTTGAAAATATCGGAACATTTTCATCATTTCCAATTTACATAGTGAAAAAAAGACAACAACAACCGAGTAGAAGAATCCCATGAAAGTAGGGTCTTGGGAGGGTGTGTACGCAGACCTTACCCTCACTTGAAAGTAGAAAGGCTGTTTCCATGAGACCCCGGCTCGAGCAACATAGAAAGCACAGTGAAAGCAAAAAAATCTCAAGAATTTCTAAACAGTGTTTAAAATGTGTAGTTATGTCACGAAGTGTTTACCCTTTCTCTGGAACAAGGTCATCTCCAACACCAGAAACATGAAGATAATAATCAGAATCCAACTCCCAAAGTGCAGGTTTCCCCTCCTGAGGTTGGAAATAGCCCAGAAACCTGGAAAAATAAATCAATCAATACAAATATCCCAATTTGTCCAAATAAATACCGTACATGCATGCTTAAGTTCTAAGAAAAAAGATGGTCTAACATCTTTCTACAACTCCAAATTTCAGATTGGCAAGAAATAAATCAGGACATGCTTTGACACCATACTACCAAGAAGATACTCCATCCATCCTACTAATCTTTCCTTTTTAACTTTTTTGTCCATCCCATTATTTTGTCCCATGCCATACTGGTAATGTTTGTATGGCTCAAATTCTTCCTACTTGTCTTACCTTTTGAAATCATTATCAACCACACACTTCTATTTTTCTCAATTTTTGTGCCACTATCCTATGGCCCAAACATAACAGAGGGAGTAATAAAAAAGCAATAATTATAGCAAATGGGTGGTATTTACAAATTAATTGCATCTTGCTTTTCACCATCAGTATAAGCATTGCTATAATAGCGCTTGATAGACTTCAGAAATTCTCTTGACTGGGTTGTAGCTTTCCACTTTCCCTGCCTTTCAGGAAAAACCTGTGTGTTCGACAACACAATAAAGTAAAGGTATCACCTACCTCTTACTGAGAGAAGAAGATTTATAAATAAAAAATAATTAAGTATTAAATTTGACTTAATGCAGTACGATGCACATACTGTGTTGTGGGCTGCAGAGCCACCATACTGTTGTGCTAGGGCATCACCCATACTCTGGTACATCTCCATTAGAGCACCAGCAATGCTGCTATCGGCATCCACTTTGGGCTTATCACTCAATGACATTGCATGTAATTGATGACCCAAAGCTTCAAGACCATATGCATATTGGGCTACATTTGTTCGATCCAAGCAGTCTATGCAATTTGTACGGAGTACTCCACTTTGAAAACGTGGTGCATCCTTAGCACAGTTGTCTTTGCCGACTTGCCTATTACTATCCATCTCTCTATCTTGCTTGCCCAATGAACTAAACACCTCATTACCACTACCAACCCTGGGCAAGTCCCCTGAACTAGGCCTCAAATCTCTTAAAGAACATTCCCTGCATGAAGCGATGATTTAAAAATTAAAAGAAAGAATATCATGGAACAAAAGTAAAGAAATTTGTGACACGTGTCTCAAGAAGCCCAGTGTGAATTACATTGAAACATCAGCTGAATATGTGAAACATGGTATGCTAGCCCATGTTCCCCTCAACTCATTTTTACAACCAAATGAAAATATAGGACAACTACCAACCAATATAGGATAAAGTAGCAACATCATTCACATCAACAATAATCTTGAACACTTCTTTTGTGATGAACAAAACTATGCTGATATAATTTTATTTTTAAAAAATATAAAAAACAGTACATAGTTTCTTTTTAAGAACTGCATCAATCAATTTAAGAAAAGAGAAAAGAACAATAGTTCCACATCACAATGTACTGGATGAGATGAGTACGAGAGAAATGCAAAAAAGATAGCATACCAAAGAGTGAGATGGTAGATGATTAAGAGAATTTAGAGAAATATTTGGAATTATATTCATTTATACTCCATCCCAATTTATATTGCCTGTTTTGGTTTACGATGTTTGACTAAAATTATTTTCAAATCATTTTATATGAAAAATGGTGTAAAATTAAACAATAAATATTACATGTTAAAATACATCAAAAGATCTACAAAACTAGTGGTGACATGACTATATTATTTTATCAAATGACTAACAAAAATAGAGAAAGAAAGTGAATGAAGTTTGACCATGACACCATGTGAATAGTAAACAAGCAATTTGATTTGGGACGGAGGGAGTATATCTTATTTCAGATATTTTCTGTTGGTTAGGATTTAATTAACCATTGTATTTAATTATTTTTATGGCATGTTTGGGAATTGAAATTTGGATTTCAAATCCGGATTTGGCTCAAATTCCATGTCTGGAAAAGCTTTAAAATTTGGATTTGGATTTGAGGCAAATTCCTCTAATTCATTACAAAGCTCAATTGCAAATCCATATGTCTCTCCTTGTTTGAAATTCAATAATTCAAATTTTGGAATTGAAATGCAAAAATTGAAATGAAATGCTAGTTCCCAAACACTACCTTAGGTAGTTATTCCCATTGCCTTAGAGTGAGATTCTTGCTTTTCTTTATCTTAGTAGAGAATTGTCTTTGGCTTTATTAGTCGGATGAGTTCAAAATACTTGCTTATCCCCTTTATCTTCATCTTTATATTTAGAGAGATTAGATCCTGATTTCAATAAATAATAACAATTTATCCTTTTTGTTTTCCCTCCTATTTTGGTTCCTATCATTTGGTATTAGAGTCATCCCGTCCAAGAGTAGTACCATCCAGAATCAACATATAGAAATAAAGAATCGTCATCCTCTTCTACTTATCATCACCCTCTTCTTTCAGGTTTCAACCTCATCTTAATCAAACTTGAGGGATTTGCTGCATCAACACTGCAACACATGCACATTTTATGGCATTATCAAGGGAGCTTTATGCTATTTATCGAATATTGGTGACAGACAGGGAGCAGAAGCAGATTTTGATACGCAGCCTTGCTGCAAAACATGTTTTAGTTATGGTTACTCTTGAGGACATGGTAAATTTCAATGGGGCAGTATTGATAGAATACCAATGAGTGACATGATGGATGATTTAAGGAAGTTAGAGAGATATTAGGAATTTTATTTATAAATTTTATTTTATATATTTTCTGTTAGAAATTAAGTAATAATTGTATTTATTTAATTCTAACGAGTTATTCCCATTATCAGAAATAATGGAAAAGTTTTAGGAGTCTTTTTAGGGAGTCAATTTCCATGATCTAAGGGAATTGTCTAAGTTTTATTAATTTATTCTAAATGTATTCTGGTCTATAAATAGGGCAGCCATTTGAGAAGTAAATGATGGCTTAAAAATAATTATATCATTTTATCCAATTGCAGATTCTCCGCTCGTGGGCTATTGAGATCAGTAGAGTGAGATTGTTCATTTTCCTTATCTTAGTAAGTTAGTAGAGAATTATCTTTGGCTTTATTAGTTGGGTGAGTTCAAGATGCTTGCTTATCCCCTAACAGAGATTTATCGTCATCTTTATTATTTTGTAAGATTAGATTTTGACTTCAACAACAACCCAGTTATTCTTTGTCTCTGTGTGCTTTATCTGTGCTTTCTCTGCTTTATGTATATCCTGTGATCTTTTTGTATGTGCAGTTTGGGCTAGAGGTCTATTGGAACAGCCTCTCTACTTTCAAGTAGGGGCAAGGTTTGCTTACACACACCCTCCCCAGACCCTACTCTTGTGGGATCCAACTGGGTTGTATTTTTCCCTCCTATTTTGGTTCCTATAAAAAACCAGGCCCTTGAAGACTTTTAACTGATTATTTCTCATTTTGTGTGCAAAAGGTCCAGTTTGAAACATAGTTGTCACAGCACCAAGGCGAGAGTATGAATATGAACATACATGTTCTCTAATTCTAACCAAAATTTCAAATATACAAACTAAAAAAAATATAAACACACCATAAAAGATTTTCAAAAGGCGCTGCCTGGACCCTGGATGCCTAGGCAAGGCCAAGGCGACGCCTGGGCGAGGGGTTAAAAAACGGCAAGGCAATACACCAGGCAAGAGGAGCACAGCGCCACGACGCCTAGGCGACACCGTGACAACTATGGTTTGAAATGATAACAGTGTACTTGTACTCATTAATTCTCTCTCCCTCTCTCTCTCTCTGCGTGTGTTTGCAAAAGTCAAAATCCAAAGAAGGGCAAACAATATGAGTACCTTCCAGTGTTGGTCCGGCTGATTTGAGTAACTTGTCTGTTGATAATAAAAGGCTTCCCACTATAGTAAAAGCCAGTCAAATCAAGGGCTTCATTAGCCACACCACCCAAAACTGCCAACACATTCGCAGATTTGCTTCAAGAATCAAGACATAGGAAAAGATCAGTACCAAATATAAAAGTGTATGTGCAAGAAAAACAAAACTACATATCTACCTCTTCGCAAATTTGTGAAAATCCCAGTGTATGAACTTCAGCTGATGTTCTTCGGTAAGAATTTGATTCAAATACCCAACAGCATATGCAAATTCGCGTCTCAGCATCATTTCTCTTGGCCTCTTTTCTACTGTCTGAAATAAATAAAAAATCAATCTATAAAGAAACCAGAACTTGCTTTAGCAGAGCAAATCCTAGTGGAGTAGCATTAGATGTGTAATTTCTACTCCATCCCCGCACCCCCACCACACACACATAAAACATGCAAGAAAAAGAACACAGCAGGGATGAAATGAAAAGTTACAATGAAGGTACTTAGTCAGTCTTCAAAGCACAACCCAGTATAGAAATGCATAAAAGGAGTTTCAAATACGTATGTGTTAGTCAATCTTTCAAGAACCAGCCATAACACACATGCATAAAAGGAGGTCCAAACAGGTACATATGCTTGATTTAAATAAGGACCATGGAGGTTCTCTAATACCGAGTATTTAATAATGGCTTGATACTAACTTTGATTAGATTAAGTACAATGATGGGGTTTCCATATCTCCTTGCCAAGTCTTCAAAATGCATCTTCGTAGCCTCATATGTTGGATCATATCTTTGTACTTGATTCAGCAACATCATAGTTCATAGCACACAAAACCCAAACAATAATTTTTCTGAAACAATCAGAAAAATACTATAGAGCAGTGGTAATAATCAAGTAAACAGATGCCACTGTTCTTACAGATGATATCAGGTTTTGGGCTGAATCTTGAAGCTTCTTGAGACCAGAAAAGTGGTATTGAACCCCTCATCTGCACAACAGAACTCATTCTTCCTTTGCATGACCCAGCTTCTTCATCAAGGACAATTTGCTCTGTTTCAACATCATTTGCCACTCTTCCATGATCGTTAACTCCCCTTTTCAAGTAGCTGCAACCATTTACCAACGAAGTGGTAAGCTCTTAGTTTCAGCAATAAAATAAGGTATATGTAGTTATATACACTTACATCTTGTTTCAAACTCTCTATCAGTAATAAGTGTCATAACCTCAAAATACAAGTTTTGCCATCTGTTTGAAATTGATTAAAAAGTACATTATGTCTTTAAAGTAAATACACTATCAAGAGTTCTACCAGCACACTACACAAAATCTAAACAGGCAAAACTGACAGCAATTCAACCAAAATAACCATCCAAGTGAATAAAAGATAACTGCAAAACTAGAAGTATTGAATCAGAAATGAACATTCAGAAAAACGAAACCAAGTATATTTGCATCCAAACATTGGCCTTTTTATAGAGAAGGGAGATAAAGGGGTACTTGCACTGCATTCCCAAATAGGTCAAAAGGGACACAATACTGACCTGGGTAGTTGTTCTTCCTCCTTAGGCCCTTCCCTGAACTTAGCAAATATTAAAGGGAAGCAGATGCAGCCAATTAAAAATATAGAATTTCAAATCAATTTATTTTTAAAGACAAATAATGACAGACAAAAAAAAGTGAACTGCCTGTGTATGTCCAAGACATGAAAAAAACATGAACAGCCAGTGCAATGGTGCAATGCAATAGCTACAATGTACAGTAGAATATAAATGGCAAATTTAGCACACTTTACCCATGCACATTCTCCCAGAAAGTATACTTTGGAGCTTATAACAGAGAATTGAATACAACTTACAAGTACAAAGTACAAAAGCAACATAGGGACTGATAAGCCGGGTTTGGGGTAGTTCTTTTTATTTATTTTTAGGCATTTTTAATATTTTTAGTGTTTAATTTTTAATTGTTTAGCATAGTTTTATTTTAATTTCAAATTTTACAGTCTTTAATTTTTCTTTCATAAATAATAGTTTTTTTAATCATTTCTTTTTACATTATATTATTTTTATTTTTTTCCCTAACCCAAATTATCAGATATCTTATATTTTGAAGCAAAATATAGCAGAAGGACAAAAATGAAGTTCAAGTTTGAAAGGAAGCAATTGAATTTGGGCCGGATCCCAAACCCATCATTAAATCAAAAAAACAAGATGAGCCCAACACTCCTCTCCTCCCACCTCTTTTGATCTCCGTCATTCAATTGCCAACGGTAAGAAAAGCTTCGACTATAAATTGAGCACAGAATCATCATCTTAAAAGAGGGGAATTCACACAGAAAAATAAAAAAAACAGCAGCTTGGCCGCTGCTATTGCAGCAACCGGTGGACAAGTCCGGCGACGACTGATGGTCGGAGGCGAAGATTCGGCAGGTTCCTTCAGCTCCAATTCTTCAATTTTCATCATCTTCTTCAACAAATTGGTAACCCTATATTTGTCAATTTCTTTTTCTTCTCCAATTTCTTTGTAAAAGTGTGGTTTCAATTCAAGTTTACACTTTATTTTTTCCTTGTTTATTTGTGTTAATTTTGAAAATTCCAAAATGGTTGGTGTTCTTTTATGGGTTTTTTTTATGTTTATATTAAATCCCTTATGAATGAGAATTGATTCATATTAGTTTTCTTCAATTATTGTGTAAACTGTTGTTGAATTGGTTAAATCGCACGGTTTTAATTCATACGTAGGTTGGTATGTGGAATTTGGTTTTCATTGAAGCTATTTTAGGTCCATATTCATAAGAGACCTGCAAAATACTTTCATCATATTTTCATCATTAGACGTTAAAGTTTATTGAAGTGTATAAAATGTTCTTCGTGAATAATTTATGCATGGGAGTTAGAATGAAAGAAAGATTCGCTCTTTTATAAACTTTTTCATCTTTTGGAATAAAAATTATATAAGTATCTAACATGACTTCAATGTAAATTTCATGTTTTAAAAACTATTTTCTTATAAAAATGAGCACACTCAATAAATACGCTTCTATGTGATCATAAACTAAAATATTGTGAATCAAAGGAGTGACAAATTAACAATCAACAAAATAGAAAGATAACATTAATAATCTTACATATTATGTAATGTATGCCTGTTACTCTGTTATTCTCTTGATGTTGTCTAGATTAAAAAGGTTCAAATAAAGAAGGGCATTATAGTTTAAAATAATCAGAGCATTTTTTAAATCAGATTAGGCTGAAATCGAGGCAGTAAGGCGCCACCTAGGCAGCTGTCTAGGCCAATTTTCAGAACATACTCGGTAATCACTTCCACAACTGCCATCACCTGCCCTTACCATATTCAGGCTTACCCTTACTCTATCATCACCACCCCTGCCACCTCCATAGGACTATATCCTTATCTCACCAAGGCCACCACAACTACCTATGCAACTCACTATTGCCATCAGTCCATCACCTACACCAACCAATAGCATTAGCTACCCACCAATAGTCACTACACATATCTGCCCCCCATAATCATCCCCCCTAGTCCCTCATGCAAACCGTCTTGACCATCACACATAATACTACCACTTCCATTATACTCTGTATTATTATAATCAGTTTTTCTTTCCATAAACTATTAACATTACATGTGTTTCCTTTTTTATCTCCCTTCTTTCCTTTTCGGAAGGTTCCTAAATATTACTCCCTTTTCCAATCAATTAATGTATTGTGTGGCAGTGTGGGTTCATATTGATTGTTCTTTTTCTATATAAATCCCAACCGCAAAAGGAAACATAACAAAATTCACAGAGTATGTAGCGCACTTCATAAAAAGAATACATTAGAAAATCTAAATCATACCGTGTCCCAGCAAAATGTCTAGACCGTCTTGAGATCAAGGAAACATTAAAATCTCTTCCAAATATTGATAGCCTGACCTGTAACCAATGAAAACTAGATGAGCTGGAAAGTTAAATTATACACTCCTTGTAAATGTGCAAAAGCATGCAATGGGAAATTGCAGGAGATGACAAAGGACACTTAAGTTCTAATCCTTTTTAAAGAACAAAAACGGATGATTTTCCTAGATAAAAATATAGCTACTTGACTTAAAATGAGAGAAAGAGCTAAAGATACAGAATGAGCACACCTCAAAATTACAATATACAATCAATTAGTATATATATTATATCTTATGGGTATGTGCATGTTTTCCTTACAACCACTAGGTTTTTCTAGAAGGTTCTACATTTAAATTGTTCTTTTTTCCTGCATAGTAATTTTAAACAGATTTCATTCATCCAAAGCATGAAAGAAGAAAATAATCACAGCTGCAATCTTTTTTCAAAGCTGGTGCATTATCTATCCCCATTTAAGATAGTAAAACAATCAGATACCATATCAAACTGTGGAAATACTTTATAGGTTGAAAATGAGAGGTATAGTTTCAGGAAGAGAGTGTTGCGCTGTTAAAGAGTGGAAGTCAATCTACTACACGAATTTCCTATTCTTCTTTTATAGCTATTGCAAACAAAAGCAGTAAAATATTTTAAAACTAAAGAAAAGTAACTACCTGCCTAAAGTGTCCATGAACCAAAGCAATTGTCCACATGGTGTTCTTACATCTGAATCTGATTGGTTCTGTTAAGTATGCATTCCATACAAAAATATTGTCATATGGCATCTCTTTCTCACTCATTGACAGAACATTCTTTTGCAAGCTGCGCATTATAGGATATGTATGACTATAGAAAAAATCCTTGGTCAAGTCAACGCTGGATAAAAGTTTTTTGTACCTGCAAGTACAGAGCTATATAAGTCAAAATAAACATAAACTGCTTTAAAAAGCAGATCACAAGGTGAGAAAAGGAAAGTAACAATCATGAAAAGAAACAAAAGGTTCACATTTTTTGATGGGTACATGTAGAGTAATAACAATTTTTTTCTATGAGCATTGAGAGAAAAATAAAAGCAGGCCTCTTGGTAAAATGAAATAGAGCAAGAAAGATCATGGACATGGTTAATGAGGTAAATTTCATACATGGAGCAAGAAAAGCTAAAAAGGGAATGTTATAGACCAGGCCCTCTTTTTCAATACAAAAATCCACTATTTCCAGACTGATAAATGACATGACAATTCCAAGCTATTCACTTCTCATTCAAGGGGCAAAAGCATATGCCTTAGGGTGTTTTTTTTCAATTTACTTACAATAGATGGTGTGCATAAATTGCAGTAAAGAAGGAACATCCGGATGGAAGTTCACAGAGGATGGTGGCTGTTTCTCAATGCCACTGATGATAATCATATACTCCATACATTTCTAAATATTATTATGGTTCTTTCAGTAGGGCAGCATCTATGAGCCTTCTTTTTTACTGATGGTCGAAGAAAGCAGCATGTGAATCTATTCAGTCATAACAACTTCAGCTTTGCATGCAGGAAATAATGGCTACACTATACACTAAGAATGCTCTTGAGAAAAATCATAAGCAATACTCTATACTTTCACTTTCATCACATATACAATATTCAACAAGAAACAAACTATCATCCATGTTACCGCAGCTCAGTTTTTGAATGAGCAAGATCAGTCTGAACAGACACATGTGGAATTGCAATGATTTGACTCTCATCAATTCCATAAATGGCATGACCACAAATACATCCAATCTGGTGGCGCTTTGTCACCAATACAAGATAATACGACTCCAAGAATTTGATGCAACCTAATAAACCAAGCATAAACATAAAGTTAGGATATTTTTGTTTAAAGATCAGTTTTGCCATCTTACAATCACCACTAATCAGTGCAATTACCAACAATGCCATAAACTTTGGCCACAAAAGTCAATCCTCCAGTGGCTCTATTGCCGTCAGCAATCCTTTGCAGTAAGCTCTTCACTTCCTTAACGGGGTAAACGACTGGATCTTCACTAATATTCAGTTCTGAAGGTTCCATTCTGTCAATCTTAAGCACTCTGAATAACTGCTTATTTCTGTCGCTCCCAATCAGATAAAACCTCTGCGAACAGAAAACTCCAGATTAAAAACGGGTGTAATCTACATTCAGCAACAATCATACATTTATTTGCAGAGCAACAAATGTAGGAGTGTGAGATTTTAGGGATGAATCAGAAAGTC